AATAAAATATAATTTCTTCTCTATATTTTTTATATCCAAAGAGTAATTGATAAGCTTAAATCAAGTAATTTTTTAATTTGAACAAAGCATTCTCAATAATTAAATACTTTAGAATATTTAAAATAAAATAATATTGATCTTGTTTTTTTATATATTTAAGAGTAATATTATTTTGCTGTTATTTGTTATTAATGCGTAAAAATAGATTCACTTGTTAATAAATGGATGTTTCTTTGAGCAAATATGTGATGAAATTTTTGGAGTATTTCCTTTTTAAGAGTAATTTGAATTACTAAGAAAATATTGAATTTAAATTAATTTGAGAATTACTATAAGGTACAATTAGTTAATAAATAATGTTCATAGCTTAAAAGACATACGAGTTAAAAAATAATGAAAAAAATGTCAATCTAAAAATCTTAGATTCAAAAAAATTTCAAAATTATTGTTATTTTAGAAAAAATTTAATAATATGGCATAATAAACATAACTCTAAGTCAGGAAAGAAATAATCAGACAATTTTAGAAGATTAATTGGATTAGATAGAAAAATATAGCAAGACACAAAAGATTGACGAAATTATTTAGGAGTTTCGAATGACAAGGAGTCTATCCTATGATCCTGAGATTTTCTCAAGTCAGAGTTCGAGATTATATTTTCCTAATTCTTACTCTGCAGTTAAAAGATGTATTCATTTATTAAGATGAAATGAGAATACCATAATGGTAAGTGTGTAGAGAGAATAAATTGACTAGATAAAGGAGATCTATGAGATTGGATTTTAAGCCAGTCTAATAATGTAAGTGAATTGGGGATTCTAGGGAATTAAATCGTATGAAAGAAATATAAGATGTTAAAAAGAAACAGAAAGAACTATAGTAGATGTTATTTGAGAAAAAACTAAACAAAGAAGAAATAGTTAAAAGAATGAAAAAGGTAGATTTTGATATACCTTAGATTGAATAATAATAAGAGAGCCAAAACAACCCTAAAATAGAAATATTTTAGATAAGATAATGATGGCAGATTTATTTCTTCTGGTTTGGCTAAGTTGATTAATAAACTGATGTATAATTAAATCCAGTTAAAATACCAGTTAGTAATCTCACCTATTATTTTAAGGAAAAAAAGAAGTGCCAGAGAGAACAACTGGCTAAAATAAAAAAGCAAAATGAATTGTTGAAGAGAAATGAAAAAGAGCTGGCTTTAGGATATTTTTTTGGGGAGATTAAAAATGAAGAACTGGAAAGAAAATTAAATGAAATGGATAGAATGAAGAGAAATTAATTGTTGTCTTAAAAATATGAGACTGTTAAGGATATAATAATTATAAGATTACTTTAAATAAGATGATTTGAGCATTAGTTTAGTATGGTTGAAAGTCAAATTCATAAGGATGATATATGAATTGTAATTCTTCAATATTTTTCCTAATTATTTAAGATAAAAGGCCCAATTTTGTAATTTAATTTGAGATGCAATATATAGGTTGAAATAATTCATTTTTGTTCTTTACCAATTCAACATAGATAGATTTTGAAAAAGAGGATTTCATTTTATTTTTTTTCAATTGATAATGCAAAGATTATAATAAATGTTACTGAAAACTGAATAAATGTAAATATTCTGCAGTACTAAAGACTGAAATATCTTATTTTTTTGAAAAGTGGATCTTTAAATATTTGCTGATTAAATAAACAATAGTCAGGTTATTTTCATGTATTATACATGCCTTTACCTTTCTGAGAACTAGCAAGAGGATACTTGGTACAAAGAAGTAAACAGCAACAAATTGTAGATCAGATCAGTAAAAAGGAAGCTATTATTAAGAAGGGGCAAATCATTTTTGATTATGCTGGCTCTTGACCTAAATGATCAAAAAAGTATTAAAAAAAATGAATAAATTCAATAGGTTAATATCCAGTCTAAACCTCTGTAAAATTAAATCATAATTCAAAAGCATGTTTCTGTTACTATGCTAAGTTAATATTTAGTTAATTGCAAGCTCACAATCAGCACTTTCATTTAATGGAAAAATGAGTAATTATGAAGAACTATTGAAGACACCAAAAGAAGCTATCAAAGGTGAAAATAAAAATTATTTGTAAAATAATTTATAAAGGCAAGAAGCATATCTACTATAATAATGATGTATAAACCAAATAACATAATAGCTCAATTATTGATCATTTTTCATGTTAATACTTTTATTTATTTTAAATATAAATTATAACAATAAAATTTTTAAAATATTAATACAATCAAGTATCAAATCAAAATTATTAAATGATGATTTTTGGATTCGATTATTTTATATTTTGTAAAAAAAATCTAAAAAAAATAATATAAAACTCTACCTTAATTTACTCAGCATCTGGGGATCATTTAAACAGTGATTTCTACATGAATTGCTAAAAATTTTATAGATAATTAGGTAGCTTGCTAGGTTTTGAGTGTGAAAATTGAATAGAGAGCATTGTTGTATATTAATAAAAAACTAAAAGAAAGAAAAATTGAAAGAAGAAATCATCACAGATTTGTATTTCATTCAAGAGTTCTGATCGAATTGAAATTGAAAAATTTATAAATTTAAAATTGATTTAGATTTTTGAATCTTGTATTTTGCCAATTAAAAAAGGCTTATTATAAAATTAAATAAAAAGTATGCTTATCAAAAAAATTAATAAAAATAGATATTTATTTTCTAATAATCGTTATAGATGGAACTTTTTATTTAATTTGTTTGATGGATTGTTACTTAATTAATCATAGTTTTAATAAACTAAATGTTGATTAAGAGATATTTAAATTGAGTGTTTATATTTCAACAACTATTAAAAAGGATGATAACATTATTTTTAGAATGAAAATTTGATTAAAACAGTAATTAATATTTACAGCTAGATAAAATTGCTTTAAATATTGAGGATCATCATTTCTTATGAATACTTTAGAAAAGTATCAAGAGTTTTTCTTCTTCATTAAATTATGATGATACTACTGATAAAAATATAAATTGAACAAAATAAATAGTACATAATCTTTAGAAAACAAGTTTTTTATACAAAATTAGTAATCTATTTAAGGGTTTGTATAAATTATATGATCAAATTAAACAATTGCTTAAAACTAGCATTCTTCTACTGAGTAGTACAATTCTGAAATATTTAATATTGAAAAATGTAGCTATCAATTATTTAAAACTGTAATCTCTTTAAAATGCTAAAACTAAAATTTAATCTAAGATCTGGAAACTCGAGCGTTAACTCCAAAAGGTCTGGTTCGGGGAACTCAAATACAAGCACAATGCTGGAAAGAGCTCTCGATTTCACACCCTTAATGTCTTATAATAAGGAATATAAACTCTGGACTAGCAATATATTTTAGAAAATATTTGGTCTTGAATGCTTACAATAAGAGAATTGGTCAGATTCGGTTGCAGCTTCTTTAGTTAAGATTGAGCCTAGAGATTAAAAATTGGTAGTGGCTGATCTAAACCCTACTTCCCGAAAAAGGAGTGGAATGTAATTTGTCAGAACCTGAATTGCAAGAAATGAAGGTTCACCTATTTACATACAACAAATGATTAATTTCAAAGATTAGAAAAATTTGACAAAGTGAATTTGATTCATAGACTAAAAACAGGACCCTTTGGACAATAATATACTAATTCAGGAATGATGAAGAATATTGAAAATTATTAATAAAAAGAGAAAATATTTAATAATCTGATAATAATAATGCATATGAGATTAGTTTTTAAGCTAGTCTAATAACTTAGCTAAATTGGAGATTCTAAGATGTTAGATTTTAACACATGGTAAAGGACTCTAGAAGATGTAATATTAGATTAAGATTAAGCAACTCTCTCTTTTAAAGTAATTAAGGAATAAAAAATTAAAAGAAAAACGAAAGTTTATTTTGAAAACAGGACATAAATTGAACATGAAAGTGAAGTAGTATAACCTTTAAAAAAGTCTAATCTGATCAGACAAGATAGTGATGCCATTTTTGTATCTTCTGGATTGGCAATATAAATAATGCAAAATGAGGCTGGCACTTAATCTAAACCCAATTGGGCCAGCGATATCTCTCTTTTTTTAATTAAGATGTTAAAGGGACTCGGTAGCAATTTGAGTAAGATTAAAAATTATAAACCCATAAATTTAGGAAACAAAATTAAAGTCTAATAAAAGGAAAAAAGTTTATCCCTTGAGTCAATAATGATAGAGATAAGTGATAAAGAGTTGGAAAAAGATTGATGGAGTTAGAAAAATTTCAGGATAATAGCAGGATGCTATTGAATAAAAGAAAATTAATAAAGTTTTTGAATTGAAATAACTAGACTATTCTATTATTGTATTATTGTTCAAAGAGATTTCTATTATTTAAAGGATTCCTGGAATAAAATACTATAAGATTTTAATCTTTTAGACTTAAAACTTTAGAGTTTAAATCTATTAGCAAGATGGTTATGCTAATATTTAGGATAAAATAATCCCTTATTCTGAAGCTTAACTACTGATGTATGCTGATTTAAAATGAATTTTAAGAAGCAATTAACATCTTTCTATATGTTCTAAAATCTTCAGTTTTTAAATAAAAATACTCTGCAAGATTTGGAAAGGTTCTATAATCCTGTAATCGTGATATGCGAATTCTAATTAAAAAAAAGAAATAATCTTAAGTGACATTTGAATAAATGAATTTAATAAAAAAATAGAGAATTGAGCAAAACAGTTAAGAGTATTTCGGAGGAAATAAAAGCAACTAAGAGCTAAATTTCTAAAGAAGCTGTGACATTCTTTAGATAAAATCTTCAAAATAAATAAAATGGCTGAGGCAAGGCTATATCAAAGTAAGTTTATTTATCAAATTAAAATTCCTTAACTATAAAGTCATTTTTCTATAAAATGGATGAGATCAAAAGACTCCCAAATTTTTTGAAAGCTTTTTGGAAATAGAAGTTTGTAATAAGCAAATATTCAATATTTGAATCATCTGTAAAGGTTGCTTTCTGAAGACCCCTTTATAATTAATAGTTGATTATCCTTCTTTTATAGACATATATTAATAAAAACTTAATTACAATTCAAATACAAAAAATGATCTTTTAATAATTAATCTGATAATATTAATTCTAATGTTCTCGTAATGATGTCAGTTTGTCAAGATCTCTTAATAACATAATTCTCCTGGACAATTAGGTTGTTTACCATATATGCATTTCATTTCAGAATGCCACAATCTATGACATTTAGTTTTTTCAAAGTCCTCTTTATGAATTCTCTTTCTTCAAAAAAGAAGCATCAATTAGCTTTATGGTTTCTTTGACTATTTCGAAGAGTGGTACCTCTACATTGAAAAGCGATCATTTAGAAATTCCACTAATAACAATATTTTAATTTTCACATCATGTTGATAAATTCTTAAAATTCAATAAGATGATAGGAGCACCTTTAATATTCAATAAAAAGTAAAAGTGAATACAAGGAAAAGTTTATTAAATCATATTCTGAAAAAATAAATTTTTGTATCTACTACGACCATCTTTAGGAGTCTCACATTAAAAATTTGGTTTCAGAACTCAATTTATATATTAGAAAAACAAAGAAACAGAAAAAATAAGGGATCTTGGACAAACCTTTTCAAAAAAGGATTAAGAAACTCTCTTGCGAAAGAATAAATCTGGGTTCAGATATAAATTAAATGATTTTCATGTAATATCCTAGATTATATTTTTTGAAGTGCAGGAACTCCAACATTTCATGCTGACTTATTAATTTATATATGCGATAGCTAGACACTAGTTTTTTATAAAACAAACAATTTGTTGCTTAACATTAAATTAGAATGGTTTGTTTTTTATTCTCTTAGAAAGAACTAAAATAAGTATCTTATGTGATTTACCATTTATATTTTTAATTAATAAATCTAAAATCAATGTGTATTTCTAAATGCATAAGTTATATTGCAATAAAGGCAGAAAACAGAAAATAAAATGTGATGCATGAGATAAATTGGCTGCAAATAAAATAAAATTTTATCCCAATCTTTTCTTGACACTATAACTGAAACTAAAACTTATTATAAAATACAACAAACCTTTTTGAATCTTTTAATTTTCTTACATAATAGTTCTCTATATCTGACCCTTTCATAAAATTTGTAAATTTGAAAATTTGTCGTTGACATTTTTTATTTATTGAAACTTGTGTCATTGAAATCTAAAGCTGTTGTCATTTTTTTGAACATGCTATTTGTACTCTAACACTCTTCACAAAATACCATTCTAAATAATTAAAAAAGGCTTCTTATAGGGAAGACTTGTTACATCGAGAGTTTATCGAACTTGCCAAACAAATAATTAAGAAAAAGTTCTAAATCATATTAAATGACCACTCTAGAAAAGGAAGAAATTTTGAAATGTTCTTGATTATATTGCACTTGGTAATGAAATAAGGAATTTAAAGTAAAGAATATTGAGTTCTAAAGAATTTAAAGAAAATTACTTAAATTTAAACTAAATACTTATTAAATTATAAAGGGAAGACATTTGATTTAAATAGAGGGTTTTTGATAAATTTAGTAGCCAGTTAACATTTTATATATTGATTATTGACATCATTTAAGGAAGAGAGAGAAGAAAATTACTCTTGCTAAATAATATTTATATCAAAAATAATACAGGAAAAGTGAAATAATTTGAGGATTATAAATCAAGAGAGGGTCTAAATAAAATAAAGGAGAAATACGAACAATTTAAATTTCATTAGAATTAAAGGAAAAGGGAAGTGAAACGTAAGATCTTACGTAGTTTTTTTCACCCAAATATAATACTTAAGAATGAAATTCAAATTGCAAAGACAGTTTTACAACTTAACAACAAAGTTTTGGATATTTTGAACATAAATAGTTTCAGACCTGTCATGCTGTATATCATCTCAAAATATATTTAATAAACCTTTGCAAAGGACCTTTATGTAAGATATTAATCAAGAATATATGTGTTTTTGAAGAAATTAAGAACGTATATGTTAATTGAGGAGTTCCCTTAGAGGTTAGCAAATTTTTTTTTTTAATTTCTTTTGCAAATAATATTTGGTAGAGGTTTAGATACTGGCTTAAATGTAGCAAGCAATACATATGAGATTGAATAAATCTTAAGTACTGTACTATAATATGCTCAACTAAGAGGCAGTGAGGGTTATTTTTGGACTCTTTTGTTAAGTTGAA